GCTCTTCAGTTTACCACATATTATACCTTTTAATTAAATCAAATGTAGCCCTGTTTTGACTAATTATATGTGTACACATATATCACTTAAATTATTCAATACAACCTTTGTACTGAAGTATTCAAAAGTAAAAATTACATGTTTAATATAAATGATTTGCTGTGGCCAATTGTTTTCATTGCATTTACAGACCCGTGTAACTCTCTGATACCACCCAATGAATGCATTGACTTGCTTGTAGAACCACGCTACACAAAACAGATAGCAACACCTATAAAAACTATTTAAAAAAAGGGGCTACTGTATCGACCTATATAAAGTATATAAATATAGTTTTTGTTTTCAAAATACCAAAAAGATCCTGCATTTTAGCCATGCCTCATTTCGCTCTATTTGCTCTTTCCAGCGCTGTTTTTGCAGGGGGCTAATTCTGGGAGCTGCAGCTGACCACGCCCCCCTGAAGGAGAGGGGAGCGTGCTCTGAGATCAGCTGCTGGGCTGTCAGAAGAGGGGGAGAAAAAGAGATCTCCGTCCTCCGTGTTTTATTCTTATAGAAGTAAGAAGAGAAGTATTGGGGCAGAAACCCTCCTTTTTACGCAGCGGTCCAGACATAGACATCAAACGGCGACACATATTCAGTTGCCAGTTACTTTGGCATTCGGGCAGGGATATCTAGATACTTTCCAAGGTTTGACATAATGAATTGTGCTACTTTTAAAGCAAGCAACGATGTTTTCAAATCTGTAATCAAAAAGCTCCTCAAAAACACTATCGAAGTAGTTCCTGCCGTTGCTACGTTAGTTCAAACAGTAACAATGGACTACTTTTCTTAGCGGATGCATGTCAATTTAAATCAATACATAAAACTATTTTTTAAATCAATAAAATCATTTTCTAAATCCATAAAAGCATTTCAATTAATATTGGGAGTCATGTCGTTACTTTGTTGAGAATGTGGCCATGTAATAAGCGGGATAATGTGCACAGTGCACATTGCATAATGTGCCTTCAAGCTGATCTAGATCCCTCCGCAAAAAAAAAAAAAAACCGGCTCGTTCGCGGGCGAGAGCCGGTTCCCGTCGTTCACTTAAAAGAGCCGGCTCTTTGAGCCGGCTCGTTCGCGACCGACACATCAGCCTTCCCTGCCCTGAAGAAGAAGTGATCCTTCCTAGTGCCTGAAGAGTTTTAAGCTAATAGCCTATACAGTTATGGATATTAGAAAGTTATTTTCATCGAAGCAGGCGCCACAAGCTGCAGCAGCAGCAGCAGTATCAGCAGCTGACAACAATAGGCGCATTCACACTGCGGTACTTTTCCCACAAAGGTTCATGTGAACTTAGTTCATGTGAACTCTTTTATCGCGTTCACACCCTATAGGCGCTTTCACACTGCGGTACTTTTCCCACAAAGGTTCACGTGAACTTAGTTCATGTGAACTCTTTAGTTCGCATGAACTAAGTACAGATCGCGTTCACACTGGAAAAAGTCCCTGGGGGTGGATTAGGCAAATGAAGCCGCTGACGTCACTTGTTCTTCTTCTGCTTTGGGTTTACTGGCAGGCCGCAAACCACTTCACGGCGTATACTGCCGCCCAAAGTCCCCGGCCGGAAGTCCCCGGAGTTGGGGACTGGCTTCAGTAGAAGCTGCTGGGACTCCCAGCAGCTTCTACTGAAGCCTTCCGAGTAAATCGCCAGAACGCCGACACCTCCTTATCTCCACCATTCCCATGTTTTATTTTGTGTTGCCATAAGTTAGTCTCTGCGTTTCTGCGCTGGGCTAATGCTAATGCTAATAATGCTAATGCGAGGATAATAAAATGGCGGCTTCACAAAACTTTTTGGGAGTTTTGCGGGGCGTGGTTTGCAATCCTTCCAGCCAATCAGAAATTTAGCTCTTTTCTCACAAAAGAGCCGTTCGAAAGTCCCTGCTCTCTAGCAGGGACTTTCGAGGGGGTAAAAAGGTTCACATGAACTCATTTTAGTACCGGCTCTTTATGGTGTGAACGCGATAAAAGAGTTCACATGAACCTTTGTGGGAAAAGTACCGCAGTGTGAAAGCGCCTTATGGTTCACACCAAAAAGAGCCGGTACTAAAATTAGTTCATGTGAACCTTTTTACCCCCTCGAAAGTCACTGCTAGAGAGCAGGGACTTTCGAGCGGCTCTTTTGTGAGAAAAGAGCTACATTTCTGATTGGCTGGAAGGATTGCAAACCACGCCCCGCAAAACTCCCAAAAAGTTTTGTGAAGCCGCCATTTTATTATCCTCGCATTAGCATGGAAGCTGCTGGGAGTCCCAGCAGCTTCTACTGAAGCCTTCCGAGTAAATCGCCAGAACGCCGACACCTCCTCATCTCCACCACTCCCATGTTTTATGTTGTGTTGCCATAAGTTAGTCTCTCTGCGTTTCTGCGCTGGGCTAATGCTAATGCTAATAATGCTAATGCGAGGATAATAAAATGGCGGCTTCACAAAACTTTTTGGGAGTTTTGCGGGGCGTGGTTTGCAATCCTTCCAGCCAATCAGAAATGTAGCTCTTTTCTCACAAAAGAGCCGCTCGAAAGTCCCTGCAGTGACTTTCGAGGGGGTAAAAAGGTTCACATGAACTAATTTTAGTACCGGCTCTTTTTGGTGTGAACGCGATAAAAGAGTTCACATGAACTAAGTTCACATGAACCTTTGTGGGAAAAGTACCGCAGTGTGAATGCGCCTAATGTCATCACCAGCAGTGTCCCGCAGCTCCTGCCTTTCTGTTGGACTCTGTCGCAGCGGGGCTACTGCTGTGGTGCGGAGCGCACAATACACAACTCTTCACAACGAAGGATCACTTCTTCTTCAAGGCAGGGAAGGTTTCGCAGTACGCAGTCTACTGTCCCGCAGCTGCTGCCTCTCTGTTGGACTCCGATACTGCACACAGTGGTTACTGCTCCGCCAGTCACCCCCGTCGTGCGGGCCGGATGAGAATGTCTGGCGGGCCGGATGTGGCCCGCGGGCCGCCAGTTGGTGGTCACTGGCATAGAGGTTATAATGCACAGATGGCCGCTCTCCTGACTTCTCTGTTTGACTCTTTTAGAAAAAAACGACAAAAATGATCAGCCTAAAATAACAGTAACTGATTATTTCTTCTTAAATAAACTGATTATAAAGTGTACTATTAAATAATAATTAAAAACTACATTCAGAAAATCATTGGTTGACAAAAAAAGAAACATTTAGATAAACAAAAAAAAGGTTAAAGGTGGGGTAGGTAATTCACTTCAGTAACATTTTTTGTTATATTCCATGGAATGCTCTTAACATCCCGATAGCAATGAATATATGAAATGCTTTGACAATAAATACATAAAAAAACGTCATCTGTGGAAGCCGTAGCTGTAAAAAGCACGACCAATCATCTGAGCCAGCTCAGATAACTGGATGGCCTACCTGCCTGTCAGCTTTCCATCTGTGCACAAACTTATCTCGTGCCCTCATTGGTCATGTGTGCGTTCATGCGTGTTGGAGGAGGGGCTCTCTAAGGAAGTCTGATTTTTTTCCGGCTGCGTACTTTCAAATTCTAGCGCATTCGAGCTGGTTTCTCCATTCTTACCTACCCTACCTTTAAGACATACAAGAAATATAAGACAGAATGGATGTATTTTTTGGAAACCACACCTACAATATTACCTGAACTGTTTAGATTAATTTTGCAGTTCTGTGAAATGTTCATCTAAAAGACTCTTGCACTACTATACCGTCTGAATAACCTAGCGGTGTTAAACACACATCCCTACATATTGCACAGCACCAGTATGGCAGCAGGTCCGAGGCGTCCTGCTGGAGAATGTGCTGTCGTGGCTAACTCTGCTCCTCGGATAGTGACAGCTGCTTCCACACACTGGGACGTGCTGAGTCAGACACGACCCCGACATAGTGCATGTTGCATGGAGGTGTGTGTGAGAGAAAGACATAGAAAGTAACCTAGGGGAAGAAGACAAATTCTATCCAATCCCTGCAGTGAAAAGATAAATGCACTCCTTGCCACTGCCCCATAATAACATGCTTACCCCACTAAATGATACCAGTTTTCCCACATTTGTTTAACATTTGTTAATTTCTCCTTGTTGAGAATCATGTTGTGTCTTAAAGATGTGCATGAGAGATAAAGAGAAGCCTTGTCTTCCTTAATGTGTGCCGATGCCTTGCCACAATGTTTCGTACATTTTAAGACTGGCATACAAACACATTTCTTCTTGAAGCAAAGACTGTTTTTGTCCCCAAGGGTGGTGTGCATCGGACTCTCACCGTGACCTCTCAATCTTTTTCATGAGTAATGTTTGTGTTTCAGGGAAATGCCAGACAACAATTTTAGCCCCCTAAAGTAATTGAGCAGCTGGGCAGATTGCTTTTAGTAGCACATTTTTAAATGAAAACTAATAAAAAGAGAAGGTCGATAAGAGAGGGCAGACCTCTAAGGCCCTGCTGTCTAACAACGTTAACAAAAGTGAAATATAATTATTTGATGTGCCCTGTAATTTGAATTAACACCAAAATGTCATGCATTATCTCTTGGTCTATGCTTTAATTTTTCATGAACATTGGGCCAGTCATTTTTCCTTAATTCTGCTGACAGACTAAAAACATTAACTTGGCAGAATTCATTATGTCTATAATATATTCTTGCAGTGTTGCACTGTCAGAGCAGATGATCCTAATAATATTGTGTAAAAAACCCAATAACATACAGATGCATAGATTCAGTGTTTTCCTGTTGCACCATGTGTAACTTAGTGGGTCCATCACTTAAATCAAAATGTAAACAGAATAAACCCAAAGTGCATTGTCTCTCATGGAAGCAATCCTACATCAAATTGAAAAAGCCAATGTTGTGTGAGCTTTTACAAACGATTCCTCTAAAGCTTGATATATCTTTGGAAGCCTTTGGATCCACACTGTTTTCTGAGGTGCAGAGGCCAGCTTGTTTTCCTCCTTTCCTCCACGCTCATTCTCTGTGTCTCCCCTCAGGTTGATTGAGAAGCGGCAGCCCAATGGAGAAACCATTGAGTTATCAGCGGAGGGCCGTCCTGAGCTGGTGGAGGAGAAGGAGCTGCCGGTGGTGGACTGTACCTGCTGTGGCTTACCGAGGCGGTACATCATCGCCATCCTGTCTGGCCTAGGATTCTGCATCTCTTTCGGGATCCGGTGCAACCTGGGCGTTGCCATTGTTAGCATGGTGAATGACCATACTGTCTACAAAGGCAACAAAGAAGTGCTTGTGGTAAGTGTTGACAAGAAATAAAAGCGTTCAGATTTACTGCATCAGTCTGTCTCTGTCAAGTATGTTTGTAATATCTGTTTTTGTTTTTCTATGATCTGTTTAAATATTTCGCAGGGTGAACATACTGTATTTTGTACATTGGTGCTCCCACTTGACTTCCTCATTATGATACTTTTTTCATACCAAACAATTTACCTGTTGTCAAAATAATGCAAAAAAAAAGCTATATTCCGTCTTTTCTCTAGGCTGCACAGTTCAGCTGGGACCCTGAGACAGTCGGGATGATCCATGGCTCCTTCTTCTGGGGCTACATCGTCACACAGATCCCGGGGGGCTTTATATGTAGGAAATTTGCTGCCAACAGGTGAATGTCAAATATGTCTAAATAAATACGATTGCTAACAAGTGGTTAAATGAGACTACTAAATGTCCTCACGCCGAACATGAGTAACCTCTATCTTAGACGTGGTGATGTTAAGTCATGCGACCATTATGTTGAATATTCAATCTGATGCAACTTCTTTGTTCTTTTGTTTTAAGAGTATTTGGTTTTGCCATAGTGGCAACATCAGTCCTCAACATGCTGATTCCATCTGCTGCTCGCTGCCACTACAGCTGCGTCATACTGGTCAGGATATGCCAGGGCCTTGTTGAGGTACAGTATGAGCTTATGTTCTTATGTGTATTGGATGGTAAACTGCTCAAAATGACGGCCAAATACATATCCAAGCCATTGAGTCACATTTTTTATAAAAGTTTAGAGCAAGGTGTGTGCCCCGAGATCTGGAAGGAAGCCAAGGTTATCCCATTTCCCAAGGATAAAAGAAAAACCTTTGCTGGTTCCATAAGTCTCCTCCCAGTGTTAAGTAAATTAATAGAAAAAATAGTATACACCCAAATTCAATACTACTTTTCAAGTAACAATCTGACAACGAACTACCAACATGCCTATAGAGATGGTCACTCTACAAGTACAGCACTTGCACAAATGACCGACGACTTGTTAAAGAGCATGGATGATAGGAGGCTTATAGGAGCTGTCATGTTAGACTTTAGCGCAGCTTTCGATGTAATCGATCACAGTCTGCTGCTGAACAAACTCAAAAGCTATGGCTTTGGTTCTGTTGCTATGTGTTGTTGGATGGAGAGCTACCTGACTAGTGCCCCTTTCACACCAACGCGTTTTCAGCTCCGGCTCGGAGCTGGAGCCTGAAAAGTGCCGGTTTTTCCTGTTCACACCGCAGCGGCGCCGCCTCTTAGCTCCGGAATCCGGTTCACTTCCAGCTCCAAAAAATTGTCGGTCTAGAGGCAAGAGCTTCGGAGCTAAGAGGTGGCGTCGCTTACGTCTCTCTTATGTCGAGGCGTGCAGGAACTAAACCCACCTCCCCTGAACATGGGTCGACTGTCATAACCTGCCTACAAGCAGTAGTGCTTATAAACACACTTTATAAAGTCAACACTAACCAGGCTTCGTGTGATTCTGTTTATTTGTACCTTACTTTTACCATCCGTTCACTGTTATTGATCATTGTGGAGAGAGGCAGACGTGTTGTTTTGTATTATAGCAGCTATCGGATGGAATCAATACATGGGCTGCACAGGTTGTCGTGTCCGACTATCACAAGTAGAATCATAATAAAAATACGCCGGTAAAATGTGCCTGTAGAAAACGGTTTATGCCACAATAGGATAGCAATAGCAAGTAGTCAGTTTAGCTTCGGTTGCTAACATCACCCATTTTATACCAGAGAAACTTTCATAACAGCATTGTGATACCAAACAGCGTCAATTCAGACTGACACACATTCACTTAGGCCAGGGGTGGCCAACCCGCGGCTCTCGAGCCGCATGCGGCTCTTTGCCTAGTTTCATGCGGCTCTTCAGTTCATATCGAATTGTATATGTGTGAGTTTGGGGGAGAGACACTGACTCCTGACTAGTGTTGCACGGTGTACCGATACTTGAAAGGTACCACGATACCCTGCCGTTAAAAACGTTACGATTCCTCCGTTTCATTAGTATCGGTACTTTAAGAATGACGGGGAAAAGTACTCCGGTGAGAAAGCGCCGTTTTAATAAGAGCCGTGTGTGTTCAGCGCTCTGCTTCCACTCCCTGCACTGCAGCCGTGCCTGCAGTCCCTCCCTCTCAAGCACGCTCTAAGTGCCTCCCCTCTCAAGCACGCTCTAAGTCCCTCCCCTCTCAAGCACGCTCTAAGTCCCTCCCCTCTCAAGCACGCTCTAAGTGCCTCCCCTCTCTCATGCACGCGCTAGCTGCCAGAGCATGTGAGAAAACGAGAAGCATGGCTGCAAGTGGGAGTGCAACTGCCGCTGCGCCTCGGCTTGTTGACAAAAAAGACGCCAGAAGCGACATTTTGAAGTATTTTAGCTATATCTCTGACAGTGAGGGCAAGCCTACGGACACCACGAGGCCTGTCTGTAATAAATGTATTGATTTTATTTAATACGAATTCTTGTCATTTATTTTATTTATTTTTCTCATTGTTTAAAAGTTTGTGTTATGGTTATGGTTCTGGTGTGAAATAAAGCACTATAATTACATTTAAGACTGTTTCCCTTTTTTTAAGAAAAGTATCGAAAAAGAATCGAAATCGCAATTCTTGACTTGGTATCGAAACCAAAATGTTGGTACCGTGACAACACTAGCTACTCCTGACAGTTAAACCTGATATTTAGTAGGTCTGTTAAGTATTGAATGCTGATAATTCTGACGTAATTTGGCCGGTCAAAGTTGTTTGGGCTCGGATAAAATCGCTCCGTTACTTTCGTCCCGTGTTACTTTCGTCCCGGCTCTCCCTATGTGTGTCAGGTGTCAGTATGAGAGGATGACAGCGCGTCTAATTTTGATGTGGCCCAAGAGCCAATCACAATAATACCTGCGATGCAGTGAACCAATCACCTTTGAGGGGGGGAAAACCTATCGTTGATTAAACACTATCCAGTGTTTCCCCTACCATTGTCTTGGAGGGGCGCTGCGCCCCGCCAACGGAGCCCCGCGCCCCCCCCCCCCCTGAAATTCAAGGTGTTTAAAAAATATATATAATATATATATATATATATATATAATAATTGCAAATAATCTATAACTACTGTCACTTTTCACATTGAACATGTGCTCTTTTATTAAATAAACTAAATGCTTTCATTTGAAGTTGTGAGTTTAGTGTTTTTGACCCTAAGAAACACTGATGCAATAATCAATAACAATAATCCACAGCTGCTCTCTCTGCTCCAGAGGATTTAAAAAAAATATATCCCAATGCCACAAAAATGCATCAGTGACGTGGTTGAAATCTTGTCTCCAGAAAACAAAAAACTGAAACAAGCGTTATCAGTGACTGTGTGTTTGATGTGGCTCTTTGCAGTAACATAGAAAAAATGTGGCTCTTAACCTCTGACTGGTTGGCCACCCCTGACTTAGGCTAAGGGGAACTGGGGATATGTATCAGCTGCTTGTGTGAGTCGGACAGTGAATACTTTAGAGCGGCCGCTGCAGTGTGAGCTAACCGGGAGCTAACGGAGGAGAATAAACTCCTGTGGAAGAGCAGCCAACACTGCAGCGGTCGGTAAATGCCGCAGAAACACATTAATAAACAATGAACCACTGCACTCTGGAGCAAAGTATAAGGTTGGAGAAGTCGTTATTTAATTTAATCTGGCTTCGTGTGATTAAAAACAACACGATCATCGACCCGACGCAGTTCCCCGTTGTTGTTGTTGTTGTTGTTGTTGTTGTTGTTGTTGTTGTTGTTGTGAACGGCGTTGACGGTGACGTCATGACGCAGCAGTGGCAGCACCAGTCGAGCTCTGGGCGGTGTGAACAGAGCGGGAGCAGAAAAGGGAAACCGGAGCTGAACCAGAAAAGCTCCCGCTCGGAGCTAGAAAGGGAAAAGCGCTGGTGTGAAAGCCGCATAGGAGAAGGCAGCGAGTCTTTTTCAATGGGAGCTTTTCTGAAAGTAAGGTGTTGCAGTGTGGGGTCCCACAGGGGAGTTCGCTTGGGCCTTTGTTATATTCAATATTCACAAATGACCTTCCTTACATATTAAATAAGTCCAGAGTAATAATGTATGTGATTCTACAATGTACAGTACAGCATCAACATGCAGTGAGTTAAACAATCTACTTAAAATAGAGATTAAAGCCATAGCAGACTGGGTCAACATAACAAACTGGTACTCAACATTGAAAAAACAAAAGCAATGGTGTTTGGATCCAGACATATGTTAAGCAGCAATCCTCAATTAAGCCTGACACTGGCTGGTCAGCCAGTCGAACAGGTAATCGAGGCTAAGTTGCTTGGCATTGTTCTTGATTCTGGTTTAAAGTGGACAAAGCAAATAGACAGTATCGTAACTAAAATGGGAAGGAGCATAGCTGTGATGAGAAAATGTACAAAGTATGTAACACCAACCACTTTGAAACAAGTCATTCAGTCTCTGGTTTTGTCACATCTTGAGTACTGTCCGGTCATATGGTCATCAGCAGCAAAAACACACATACAGAAATTACAAATAGCTCAAAAACAAGGCTGCCAGACTAGCTCTCCACTGTTCGAAGCGCACTCATATTGGAGTTATCACTTTTCTCAGAAATGTCCAATTTAGCAAAAAAACACTGTATTTTTATGATCAAATAGTTTACACAAGAGACGAGCATGACCATAAGACTAGATAAGCTACATCAGGCCATCTACTGGCACCTAAACCCAGGACAAATCTTCTGAAATCTTCTGTGACTTATGAAGCTATAATGGAATGGAACTCATTGCCAAACTACCTTGCTGAAATAGAGTCCAGAGCCTCTTTCAAGAAGAGATTGAAGGGCCATCTATTAAGGACCATGTACCCTTGTGAACTGTGTACCCTAATTTAATTTTATCTCATGCTTTGTACAGGTGGGTGTCTTGTGCACTCACCCTTGGCTGAGTTTGATATTGATTGATACATATATGCACATATACATATACACACCTACATACTCACACATACACATACACATAGTCAAACACCTACCCCCCTGTACCTCGAGAAAATAATTTCTCTGTATTTCCTCTTGAACTGGTTAATGTGGATGAGATTGTTGATGATGTTGTTTATGTTGTTCATGATGTCAGGACTTATGTCTTGAATGTTGTTGTATTGTTGTATTGTTTTAAGTGTCGGACCCCAGGAAGAGTAGCTTTTGTCAAGAGCAAAAGCTAATGGGGATCCTAAATAAACATAAACGTACTAACTTCTTTTTTAGACTACTCCACCATGCCTAAGTGATTCTCTGACTGTATTGTGTATTGTGTCCTTCAGGGTGTATCATATCCAGCTTGCCACGGGATCTGGGCCAAGTGGGCGCCTCCTCTTGAGAGAAGTCGATTAGCAACAACAGCCTTCTGTGGTAAAGTTTCTAGTCTAATGATATATTTCCCCTAAAAATTCAATATCTCTGAAATATCTGTAAATGCAGATTTCTATGACCACTGAATATCAATAAAGTAAGCATTTCGAGCACTGAAATGGTATTATTAAATGAATAATATGTTGCTTTTCTTTATATGTGATGCCTTTCAGGATCCTATGCAGGGGCGGTGGTGGCAATGCCTTTAGCCGGGATACTGGTTCAATACACCGGATGGTCTTCAATATTCTATGTCTATGGTTAGTATCCTTGTATATTTATACATGTGTGCCAGCTGCAGCACTATCAGCTGAGCAAAATATTAATGCAAACCCAAGCAATCTTCATTTCAAATGGACATTTTTCCTACTGGTGTGTTTCCAAAGCTAAAATTAAAGAATGGCTGAGCTTTTATATAAATTAAATGATTTATCTTTCTACATCAAGTATTTGAAATCCAAATCTTAGCACAACATCCTACTGATTCTGAGTTTTAGAGAGCAAGTGAACGTGTATGCTCAGGTTAATGTGTAGAGCTTTTACGTCTGCGTCTGTTCTGATTATATTGCTTATAATAAAAAACCAGTAAGCTGACAACTTTGCTATCATAGCTTAACATCAAGCAAGTGCAACAACACAAGACAAAGCAAGTTAGTTAATGTCACTAAACCAGATTCATTGTCTGTTTGCCAGCTCAAGTCCTGGCAGCAAAGCTAACTGAGCTAACAGAGCTAGCTGACAGAAGCTACTGTTAGCGTTACTTTAGCAACAAGTGAAGCTTTCTGTCCATCAGGAAACTCAGTAAATCCCACATGGCTGAGGAAGAGCAGCTTGAGGACATGACAGGGACAACCATAACAAATATCTCCATATAATATCATCCAAAGTTACAAAGTGCAACAAAATGGGTTCAAGGTGCAGTGTTCTCCCTTTCTCTGTATCACTTCTTTAGCTTCCTAGCTTTTTATCCTCTGTACCCATGTTGGTTTATTTTTGCTTTCTCTCTCTTCCTCTCCCAGGCTGTTTTGGGATATTCTGGTATTTGTTCTGGGTTCTGGTGTCGTATGAGAGTCCTGCAGCCCATCCCACCATCACAACAGAGGAGAGGAAATACATTGAAGATGCAATCGGAGAGTCTGGATCATTCCTTAATCCTCTGCATGTATGGCTCTTTAAAATGTTTACCATTAATGTACCATTGGAAGTTTCTTAGTCCTGCATATTTACACAAATACACACTCTCTATATAATATTTACCTTGACTCTATTGTTCTTGAACCATCTTAGTCAAAACAGTGCATCCCAGTAATATCTTATTCCTTTTGGTGGCAGAAATTTAAAACCCCATGGAAAGCCTTCTTCACCTCCATGCCAGTCTACGCTATCATTGTGGCCAACTTCTGCAGGAGCTGGACCTTCTACCTGCTGCTCATCAGCCAGCCCGCCTACTTTGAGGAAGTCTTTGGCTTTGAGATCGGCAAGGTGAGATTATATCATCCATAAACCTATAAAATACTTTCTTTACAGAAGTAGTTTTTGTTCTATATTTTGCTTTCAAACACGTTTTATAAACACAATTGGAATATGCCCAAAGCAACTGTCAATGGAGGGTTTATGTGTTGTTAAGGCTTTGCTCAAAGTCACTGGAGGGAAATGTTGGTATATTTCAACCTGATCATGTTTGGCCTATGGGTCATAATAACCTTGAACTAATCATCTCAAGTATTTCAACAGATGTATAGAAAATGTAATTCTGGGGGATGGCATAACAATGCTAGTGGTGTCTTTAAGTGTATTTTGCTTTAATTTGATAGCAAACCGTGTAGAGGCGATAGGAAATGCTAGGAGATAAGGGTGACTGTTCGACTGCATATGTATTATGTCACAATTTACAATTGTTAAGCTCATTTCAAAGGTGCCCCAATCCGCATAAAACTATTATCCAGTTCCATTTGCTATGAAAAATATGCTTAATCCAGTTATCTTAAATGGGAGATGTTCAATCTATTTTAATCTTCAACCCCCTTTGTTTATGATAATGTATAAAAACACTATTCCTCTCACACTTTATCTCCCCCCTTTCCTCTCTCAGGTGGGCATGGTGTCAGCTTTGCCCCATCTGGTGATGACAATCATCGTGCCTATTGGAGGCCAGTTGGCGGACTACCTGAGAACCCACAACCTGATGACCACCACCAACGTCAGGAAGCTCATGAACTGTGGAGGTGAGAGTAAAACAGGAACAGGAAAGGGTGATAGTTGTGAAGAACGGGGGAAAGAAATATCAAGACAACCCAAAAGCAGTAACTGAATTACACACGAAACAAATAATGTATAAATTATGATGTAATTTCACATTTGCTAAAGTGAAAGCAATATAAAGAAAATGAGAGACTAAAGTAAGCAGCATTTGAGATTAGTTCAATCAACATCCTTCTGTTTGATGACATTAAATTATTGCATTATATACATTTTTATTGATTGGCATAAGTGTCCTAAAATGTAAGGACCTAACATGTAGAAAACATCGTGAGACCTTTTACACAGCAACTGTGCAGCTCTGCCAGTACTAGAATCATATCAATAATGTAGCTCATCCTAAAGGTTGTATCAGTGTTTCAATTGCAAGTGTATAAACACATGTATAATTTGTGTCCATGGTTAATCTCACCTACTACTGGAACCATCAGGATAATATATTTGTTTGCTAATTTATGAATTAATGCTCAAGGACCTCACCATGCTTGTGGTTGTTCCTAAAAAAAGTATTCACTGTTATTGCTCTTTTTCCTTAGTGCTCTTTAACTACCGGTAATGGTCACATTAATAAAAGGCATCTTTGTCTATTGGCAAGGCAAAACTAAATAGTTGTAAACCAAATGTTGGCCTTTGTCGTGGCGAAAAAATTGCGTTCCGAACCCGATATGTTATTAAAAACAATTAGTAAGTGAGTCAATTCAAAAAAGATAGTAGTCACAACACCAGATAAAGAAATACCAACATGTGTTATTTTCACTGCCGTCTCAACTGAAAGAGAGCCGGGAAAACTGAGTGAGATTCAATCATTCTTTGTTGGGGAGGAGACACACCTGGTGGAGATCTGCCCTTTACACTTTTGTTGTGTTTCCATGTTTCAGGTTTTGGGATGGAGGCCACCCTCCTGCTGGTTGTGGGATTTTCTCACACAAAAGCTGTTGCCATTTCGTTCTTGGTCCTCGCTGTGGGTTTCAGTGGATTTGCTATCTCAGGTGAGAGATGTTATAAACAAGTGTGCTGTCTACCAGCCTAACAATAGTCCTGGCACATAAGCCCTGTAAAAATAAAAATCACCAAACAACATCATTTTTAATATTCACAAACACCAGGGTTGCTACTAGCTCTTTTTTACAGTCTTTATGCTAAGCTAAGCTGCAGCTTTTAGCAACATGTTCACTGTACACAGTGTTGTAGGGATAGTGGTGGTCTTATGCAGGGGTTCCCAACCTGGGGGGGGGGCACAACTTCCAGCAGGAGTCATTTGGGGGGGCTCTTGCGCCACAGCAGTAATTAAAGTTTCAAAGTCTCAAAATGCTACAACTACTGTCACAAACTGGATGCATGTGAAGTATTTTGTTAAAGGAGGATGAAAGCGTAATTAAGGAGCACTATTGGAGTGACTTTGATGGTTATTGGACTCAGGATTAATTCATTTGGATTCCCGCTGAATGAAGAAATTAAAGGAAGGCGCAAGTGGAAACAATTCAAAGTGATTAAACTGTTTAAAACACATGCTCAAAGTAAGCCGGATTTTGCCGATGTGTTTATGTGGATTCAAAAGTCGTAAATAATCTACAAAATGGAGGAGACCAATCTGATCGGAGCAACTGTGACAAATAATCCAACTGAAACCGGCATGGACAATGACTATGTTTTAAAAATGCGCTTATCCAGAAAAGCCTGGTTTGGACACTTTACGGGCAGAAGAAATATTTCTATTAAAGAAAGAATTATACATTTGTGTCTTTTTATGCATTTATTAGCTACTAACTTGAATTTTTATTAAAATTAATCAATTATTTTTTATATTTTATTGTAATGTAGAGACAAGGCTTTTAGTGACAATCATGTATTGCGTTAAAATTATACAGTATGTAAAAAAATAAATTAAAAAAAGTCTAAATCTGATATTTGGCCTCAAATCATCTGAGGCCTGGCGCCCCCCTGCGATCTTTGGTGCCCCCCAGGTTGGGAACCACTGGTCTAATGGATAGTGAGGTGGGCTGAAGATCGGAAGGTTGTGAGTTCAAATCCCGCCAGGAACACCCCCACTAGTGTGCCCTTGAGTAAGGCACTTAGCCCTTAGTTACTCCAGGGAGAATGTCCCTGTAATCGGTCATTTTAAGTAGCTTTGGATAAAAGCGTCAGCTAAATGAAATGTAATGTAATGTACTGACCTTTCAACTTTCAGCAAGGAACCAAATAAGTGTGTTTCCAAACATGTCATGATGATTAAATCGGTAACTGTTATTTTGAGTTGTCACTACATGGACACCATGTGACTGCTTCACTAACATTGTAAGAAATGTATAATATGTTGTTTTGTTCTTTAACCCAGGGTTTAATGTCAATCACTTGGATATCGCCCCTCGATACGCCAGCATACTGATGGGCATCTCAAACGGGGTGGGCACATTATCTGGCATGGTGTGTCCTCTCATTGTGGGAGCCATGACTAAACACAAGGTAAAACACAATTACTTGTATCAACTTTGAAATGCTGTGACGAAAGAATTCTCACCCATATTCCATGCCTTTCTTTTCAGACACGTGACGAGTGGAAGTATGTCTTCCTTATAGCTTCTCTCGTACATTATGGAGGAGTGATTTTCTATGGTATGACTTGACTCTGAATAAAGTGTCCGGTTAGTTACGTGCAGGAGACCTCGGTCTAAACCTATTGTATTTTTCCCCACTAGGACTCTTTGCATCAGGGGAAAAGCAGCCATGGGCAGACATAGAAGACACCAGTGAGGAAAAGTGTGGTATTATCGATGAGGACGAACTGGCTAATGAAACAGAGGATCTCTACCGGGGAGGCGGGCAGTACGGGGCCATGAGCCAACCAGTCGCTGGTTCCAATGGAGGACGAGGAGGAGGAGGAGGAGGAGGAGGAGGAGGAGGAGCCGGAGGACCCGGAGGAGGAGCCGGAGGAGGAGCCGGAGGAGGAGCCGGAGCCGGGTCGGGATGGGTGTCGGACTGGGATAAGTCTGAGGAGTATGTGCAGAAGCCTGGATAGAACTCTTACATGTACGGTGGAGAAGAGGAGAGGGAGCTGACATAGAAGATCCACACGATACACGTTTAAAAAGAAAAGAGGAAGATTGTTTTTTGGAAAGGGATTGTCAGAGAGTCACTGCTATACTGAATGGACCTGCTGTGTGCTTTTGTTAAATATTTACAATTGCACATATCAAAAGTATGCATTTGATTTATTCCATTGTGTGTGTGTGTGTGTGTGTGTGTGTGTGTGTGTGTGTGTGTGTGTGTGTGTGTGTGGTGTGTGTGGTGTGTGTGTGTGTGTGTGTGTGTGTGTGTGTGTGTGTGTGTGTGTGTGTGTGGTGTGTGTGTGTGTGTGTGTGTGTGTGTGTGTGTGTGTGTATGAGTGTGTATGAGTGTGTATGAGTGTGTAGATGCATGCAGGTGTTAGAGAGGTTAATGTATACACAAACACAAACGGTATTCATTAGTGAAAACTGGACTCATATATCCCAGACTTCCTTTCTGTTCCTGAGCTCATTGTGATTGGTCAGGAGCTCTGTTTCCACAACATCACTGACGAGATTCAGTGTGTGTGTTAGTGTGTGTGGCTTGGTTTTTGAGTGTACAGCAACTCTCTCAAGCCGCTGGCATTGTAGTGTATTTAAATGTGTATGTCACACATTTAACTTTTTTCGCTGGGAAAGCACCTTACTTTTTCAACTTTTGAGCTAACAACATTGTCCAATGTATTAAATACAACATTAGATGTCACTCCAGTACAATACTCACACTTTTCAGTAGTCTCTATAACTCCCAAGGCTCTCAGCCTTAATAGACAACATACTGAGCATATGATTAAAAAAAATCAATCCACAAACTAAAAGCTAATGTGTTTTTAATAGTGAGGCCCCTTGTGGACAATCTTGTCCAGATGCTGGTGATGCATTATGATATTATGTTCCATAGCATGCATTATTTAAGTGCATGCATGTGGTGAATACTTTCAAACTATTCAATCAAAGAGGAAAAGGGTGCTTAGGTTTTGTATCAGTCTGTGTTTGTTTGTGAAAGCTGTAAAGCTTCTGTTACAACAGCCTTCCCTTTATGCGTGTGTGCATTTGAATGTGCAAAGGTGTGTGTTTGAGCTTGCATGTAGCGTCTAGCTGAATCTCACCTGGGTCTGACCCATCTAGGTCATGGCCAGCCAGGCTTATGGGTCACAACACATGAGTAATCATCTGACATTAGTGACTTTCCGTTTTGGTGTGTGTGCGCTCCCATTAGAGAGGTGGCCCAGAATGACAAGTAGAGTGTGATAGTTGCCTAACTCTTACACTGCATTACCAGCGAGGAACAACATGTATTATTACCTGGCATCACAGCATGTGCTGCCTCTGTTTCTGCCTTTCTCTGTGGCTGCCTCTCCCCCCTGTATTTAACACTCTGTCTGCTCCTCTCAGTCAGTGTTTCCACTTCTTTAATTCCTACATTTGAGCCATGTTTGATTTGGTGGGTCAGAGCTTTTTAAATTGTCAATGTGTCTGCGTTTGTGTATGTGTGTGTTATTGTGTTGGATGCAGGTGCTGAAACATTGTGCGGTGAGCATGTTTTAATGAGCATAGAAGTGCATTGCCCCGCCATCCCTCTTTTCCTTTTACACACACACAATAGCACTCACACATACAACCATACACACACACAGATTGCTATTTTCAATGTGTGCCGAGACAGTGGTCGCACACTATTTGGTATTAACATGGCTATAGGTATGGAGCCTCATGGAAACAGATTAGGAAGTATTAAGTTATCAGAGGGTGTGTTGAGGTTTGCTATCACACCCATCCATAAAAGCAGCACCTTCTCCATCTTGACGCACTGACTGCTGGGTAATGGAGTGAAGTATTTCTTCTGAAAGGACGCTTACATGCTCAGAAGAATAAACGTGGTACTGTACCAGCTGCACAGCACAACAAACATTAAAGTACATGTGAACGCACACACACTCATGCAAGAAAAATGCTGCCCTCTCACAGTGTTTTATTTTAATTTGAAAAGTAAAATTGCAGACAGCTCTTTTAAATCAAGAATCTAATTCATAACTTATAGAGTTTGCTGTTTCAACTCTATGTTGTCAAAAAAACGTTTGAATGTTGTAAAGAATTCAAATAAGGGTTTAATGGTCAAATACGTTTTGAGTGAAATGTCTAAAAAGACATGAATGGCGATTCCTGTGAAGAACTTCATTTGTAAGTGTTGTATTGGTGTATTTACTAAAGTTTGTCTTTGGCTGTTCCAATGTTGTCCTCCTCCTTGATGAAATGTGTGGTGGGAGTCAGTGTTGAAAATAAAAAAGGAATTGATCATGTTTAACCATGCCAAAATGTGAAGAATATTCTATGTATAAAAGATGTATATGTCAGATTACCTTGTGTATAATTAAATGTAAGCAATTTATTTAATGATGTCACTACTTCAGCACAATCATGTCATCAGGAATATCAGCATTATGACGCATTAAATTAGTGTTTTATACATCATGAGCGCAATGTCAGTTCTCTGTCTTTCTCTCGAGACAGATGGATGCAGGATTATCTCCGTGATTTTAGGCAAAGATTAGATGGGAGAGCAGATGCACTCAGTGGGAGAGTGAGGGAGAAACATGGACGTCACAGACACCGGAAGTGAGGATGACGTCCAGAGGGTGGGGCATGATGCCTGTGTGTGTGTGTGTGTGTGTGTGTGTGTGTGTGTGTGTGTGTGTGTGTGTGTGTGTGTGTGTGTGTGTGTGTGTGTGTGTGTGTGTGTGTGTGTGTGTGTGTGAGTGAAATTAGGATTATTTTCCAAATTGTAATAGTTTACTTTTGCAAAATGACATGAGGTCAGCAGTTAGGACATTTATTGCTGCCTTAGCCCATTATAAAATGGTTGGCAAGCCACCTAGACAGATTTATTATGACACAAAGTAATACATTAATATAATCAAAATAAAGTCAAGATATAGTGATAACATTAAAAAGTTGAAAAAAAGATCTGAATATAGTATAGAATGAAAAGTCATAATAAACACAACACAGAAAACAATGTACACCTATATTTGATTACCAATGTGTCATAAATTGAGTTTACAAAAATATTTTAATAATATATATTATCCGTTTTTGTTGTTATATCTTCCATGCCCTGCTGCCCTATTACACTAGATGAATGCAGCATTGTAATACTACCCTAGTCAAGTAGGGCACACCCCTTTTATTTGGATTTGAGTCCACCTTAAATTTGATATGAATATATTTTAAGATATAATGCAGTTTTTTTCCAATAGGGTCCATGTCATTAGACCCAATGACTCCGAATCAATGCAGTTTGTGTTATATGACTTTTAACCTCCTATGGCATTTTCTGTTTCTCTGTATTAAAATGGTCTATAGCAGTGTTTCTCAAACTTTTTCATACCAAGGACCACTTAACCAATAAAAAAACACTCGCGGACCACCTAACTCCACAAATATCCAAAAACACATCGTTTTTTACAAATCGCCTGAAAATTGTACAAACAAGTGGCAACATGTGTGACGAAGGTGCTTATCTGGGCTATATCATGCAATCGAAAGTGAAACTTAAGCTCGTTCCATTGCGGAGATATTCCCGCGAGAGTGCGAAAAACTTAAATAAATCTATTTATTTAAAATGTGAAATGTTACCAATATACTCACGGACCACTAGGGGGCGCTCACGGACCACCAGTGGTCCGCGGACCACACTTTGAGAAGCACTGGACTCTATAGGGATTATTATTATTGTGCAGAAATCAAAATGTAAGACTGTAGATGCGCACTGTTACCACAGGAGGGCGCTGAACACTAATTCTAGTAAAGGTAGACCATTTCGGTGAATTATTTCAAAATAAAAGCCCTATGTATAAAATAGATAGATAGCAGTAATTGCGGAGCTGTATTGGAATGCAATAAATGATGCTGAAGTTCGTAAAGCTTTAACATTTTTGATAAAACAGATTCAATAGGTGCTGCTCATATGAAAATGAATTCCTTTGTGATGTGAATCAAATATATCTGAGGAGTTGAGAAGAACCATCTGAGAGAGAAAAAAAGTTTGCCCGAAAAGCCACGCCCAATAAGGGCTACTCCTGTTTATGATTGGACTGATTTGCCAGCTATGGGCGGGGATAACAGCTAACACTCCATGTGATTGGACCGTCGCGACGTCTGTCTCACTGCCGTCCGTTCATTGGTTGTTTGATGACGGGGATTAACGTGAAAATGCTCTGCTTCTTTCAATGAGCCACAATGGAGACCAAATAGGAACTCGCACGGACTCAAGCTTTTAATGTATTCATTATATGAAGTTAGATTGTGCTAATAGCGTCATCAATCTGTGTTTCATATACTGACACGTAACTGTATTGAGGAAAAACAAGTTGTGGAAAGATCCTGCAGTTTGTCTACAAGTGCCTTTGAATAAGGAAATCGTCTCAGGCTAACGTTATGTAGCAAGCTAATCTCATTTATCCATTTTACTCGTTATTTTAACTATATTTTCACTGGCTGTGATAAACTCCACTTAAGGTAAGTACGATGAAAGACTTCTACCAATATCGATTCAGTAACTATGTACTTAACATAAAGAAATAACGTCGGGGAGGGTAATCTTAAATCTGGGTCAGTGTCTTCGCCATGTCAGTGTGGGGAGGAAGAGGCTGTGATTTGTTCATCTTCACCAGGATCTTCCCCTTGATACTTGTTTAATAGCATTATTTGATGTTTTCCAGGCATGACTGAGTACAAACTTGTGGTGGTCGGGGCAGGAGGTGTGGGGAAAAGCGCTCTCACCATCCAGCTCATCCAGAACCACTTCGTAGATGAATATGATCCGACCATTGAGGTGAGGTGCTGCCCATCAGACACAGTGACATGGAGAGGAAGAGGTGGTAGAAGTACTGGCATCTTGTACTTTAGTTAAAGTACCAGAGTGTAGGAATACTGTGTATCAATAAAAGTCCTGCAATCAAATAGTTACTCAAGTAAAAGCAGAAAAGTATTAGCATTAGAATAGACTGAAAGTACCAAAAGTGAATGGCCCATTTCAGAATCATATCATGTTATTTACTTTGTACACTGTAGAGGAGCTTGTGAATGTTACTAAAAGTTTTGATTATATTTCACATCACTAATCTAAATCTGCAATGTGATTTAAGGTATTTAAATACATAAAAAATAGTGGAATAACAATTTACCTTTGAATTATAGTGGAGTAAAACACTTTTTTTTAAAGTACAGTACTTGAGTTAATCTACTTAAGTATTTAACAATAATAATAATAGCCTATATCTAATCTATGAGTTTACCACGGAACTCATTAATGGGAGTTTTTCCTGAACTAATGTGGCTTTAGAGCTGTATAAACACCCACTGCAAAACCACATCTGTCCTGTTACCAGACATCAACTAATACACAGGAAGATATGATGTTACCCACCCTTGTGCCTTAAGTGGTTCATCCTTCCCTTACATGTGCCTTTTACAATATTTAAAAGATTGAAGCAGGACAACCTATGTAGTGTTTTCTTATATGCCTATATTAGTAAACATTGTAATATTTAAAATCAATCTGGCCAATTATGACCAAGGTATGTTTGTGTCTTATTTAAATCTCGGCTGGGCACTTTAATAGAAAGAATAAATACATTTAAATAGCAAAGCAATACTCCAGTACAAGTCAAGACTGCCATTAAACACCTTACAAACGTATAAGCAACAGGGTATACTTAACAAATTAGGAGTTCAAGTATTAATCTTGCAGCTGTATGAGTCATATTGTTATATTAGTGTTTGTGCTCTATTGACAACCATTTACTGGAAGTCCCTGAGGCTCCCACTGAAATGAGCTAACGGCTTTACGCTCTCTGACGCTGCTGATGGACAGATCGGTTGATCCCATTTAGAGCATTTATGTAGAAGAGGTTGCAGGGTAGTTCAATTAGAGATTGTAATTGCTTTCGAGCTATATCTGCTTTCTTTGTCTGTGTTCCTGTAGTTTAAACTTGATGTGTTTTTTTAAAATATTGTGTGTATTTAGCTTAAACACTTGTATGCTACTGACAAAGCCAGGGCTCTGTCAGGAAAGATATTTAGTCATATCAATGTGATCTACCTGGTTAAATAAAGGTCTAATATTTAAATAATGTCACTCAAGTATTATTATCACTGAGTCATAAACATGGAAGACACATTTTAATGCTATTGCTAGTCAAAGCTTATTGTAACAGCTTCACATACTGCTGGGTAGTTTGTTGTGTTTTCTTAACCATCTGTTTGTGTATGAACAATACAATTAATGTGCAAAGTAAACAGTAACAATAGATATTTAAACAAACAGTTGAGTATAACGTGACTGTGTAAAGGGGCACCGTGGTATTAATAAGGCCATGCTGTCACAAATATGCTGCACCATCAGAGGGGCTGAAGGCTTTATTAAAAACGGCAGAATCCTCCAAAAGTTGAAATAAGACTCACTGAAGCAGCTCTCCTGTCAGCCCTTGTTAGTATAAAATAATTTCCAATGACATATATAAATCAACACTGCTAACTTTATCACGTTATCTCATATTCTTCCCACATTGATGCCTAGAAATCCACACAAGTTGGTTGTAAGTCTCCCGAGTTAAACACGTTTTCGCCACTTCTTTACAAAACGTTCCATTCAACAAGTTGCAGCATGACGCAGCGGTGACTGTCATGGGAATGAACCATGATGCAATCCATTGTCAGATTTCTTGGCATGCTCTTTTTCTTGCCGCCTGCATGATCATGTCGACGCTGTGTTTCAGGACTCGTACAGAAAGCAGGTGGTGATCGATGGAGAGACTTGTCTGCTGGACATCCTGGACACTGCGGGTCAGGAGGAGTACAGCGCCATGAGGGACCAGTACATGAGGACAGGAGAGGGCTTCCTCTGTGTGTTCGCCCTCAACAACATCAAGTCCTTCGAGGACGTTCACCTCTACAGGTACTAGTTACTTTGGGCTTTACCCAGTGCATATCGCCATACTGTAGATAGCTGAAAAAAGGAGCTGAAACAACACTGAGAGAGAAGGACTGTTAGTGCATTCCATTTCAATGGTGTGTGTTTGACTTGGCACAATTAGTGTTTTAGATGCGCCTAGCATACTTTCAGATATGAGTAGTGTGCTACTTCAGACAGTCTAGCAGTGCAAAGGCAACTTCCTGATGAGCAGGAACTGTAATTATCTGTGCCGCATATCTGCTGAATGTGGTGAGTTCAATGGGTCAAATGCACACTACAATCTTGTTTGCAAATTCATGAACTGATCCAAATATATATAAAGCAACACTTTACTGCAACTAATGTTTATTTTAATAAGCGATTAACCTGCAGATTATTTTCTAGATGTATCGTTTGGTCTGTCGTCCAAAAGATAAATATGTCAAAGACAATTTAAAAAAAAAAAAAATTAAATTAAATAAAAAGTCCATCTAAGCGTTTCAAAACCAAGGTTATGTATTTGAATAGCTTGTTTTCTCAGTCCAAAGTCCCAAAGATATCCAATTCAATATAGTGTCGGCGGGGTCTTAGAAAGTATTGAAAGTTGATCAATCAATTTAGCGAAAATGAAGGCTATTAAAAAGTATTAAATGGCATTTTCCAAGGTATTACATTTTGTAGCTTGTTTTCAATAAGTATATAAATTGCCCAAAGAGGTTGTGTTCTACAGTCTGCCTGAATGTAATCATTGCGTAGGTGTGTAGTGTGATTCTGTGTAGTTTATTGATGGCATCCCGTTGGGTTTGACGTCATCTGAACAGGACATCGCACGCTCACTGCTTGATAGCACGAAGGTCCGTTTACGCCGGTTGTTAAACAACATCGTTATGGGGAAATGCAAGTTTGCGTCCAAATGGTTTGAAGATAAGGAGGAAGGACAATCAATACTGTATATAGTGAATGTGAGGTAAAGTGTGTCGCCAAGGTAACGGTTAGAACTCAAAGTGGCGATGAGGTCTTAAAATGTATGGTAAAGGTCTTTAAAAAAGGTCTTAAAAGGTATTACATCTGAATTCAGGATTCCTGCATATACCCTGAGTGTTTATATAAAAAAGCAGGACATTTCCATATAAAAATAGCATTGCTGGCATGAAAAGTTACCTCAACAATGAATGAACTATCAGAATAGTTGGGGGTTATTTTTCTGTCGATCGATTTAAAAACACAGCCCTACAATACTGATGAAAATATGAGTTGTTGCAGAGATAAAAGCCAGTTGTCCACAGTCTCTTAGATGCTTTTTGTGTGTGCCTCCTCCTCCTCCTCCTCCTCAGAGAGCAGATCAACAGGGTGAAGGACAGCGACAGTGTCCCCATGGTGCTGGTGGGGAATAAGAGCGACCTGGGAACCCGCACAGTGGAGTCCCGGCAGGCGCAGGAACTCGCACGAAGCTACGGAGTCCCGTTCGTCGAGACCTCCGCCAAAACCAGACAGGTACGTAGGGTGTATGAACGGTTAATGTGTTTAAAATATTGTGTGTATTTAGCTTAAACACTTTTATGCTAACGACAAAGCCAGGGCTCTGTCATGAAATATATGTTGTCATTTCAATGTGACCTACCTGGTTAAATAAGGGTCTAATATTTAAATAATGTAGATTACACTCAAGTATTATTATTATTATTACCGAGTCATAAACATGGAACACACATTTTAATGTTATTGCTAGTCAAAGCTTATTTTAACAGCTCCATATACTGCTGGGTATTTTGATGTGTTTTCTGAACCATGTGTTTGTGTTTGAACAATACAATTATTGTGGAAAGACGCTCATTTGCAGTCTGCAATGATGCAAGCAAGAGGTTCTGTAGGAACGATGTCCATAACCAAAGGACACATTACATGTTTTGAGACAAATATTTCTTTGTCTCTGTTTTGCAGGGTGTGGAGGAAGCTTTCTATTCACTAGTACGTGAAATTAGAAAGTACAAGGAGACCAACCGCAGCAACAAGAAGAGCAAGAAGAGCACGCAGAGACGTTGCACTATACTATAGCAAAACACACACACACACACAGTAGCACATCCTTTATCGCACTTGTTTCATGCTTGCCCTAACACACTGCACCTCCTCTGTCACGTTGGATGGAGATGGCATATCTCCAGACAGGAAAGCAGACGTGGCAAAATCCATTTTCACTGCTGTCTAAGTTTCCATTTACAGTATGGCACCACAACGCTGTAAATTCAGTATTCTTTTTTTTCTTCAGTTTTGTCAACAAACATCTAGAAACTGCAGTTTTAGTTGAGTTTAGTTAAGTTTGTCAGACTTAGTTGGAGTCTGGGATAAAATGATTGATTTGTCTGTAAAGGTATTTCTCTTTGACTTGTGATTTTTGTCCAGCCAGTGATTTTACAGCTCCCGTTGACGACACAGCGGTGCAGAGAGTACTTTGCACATTCAGTCCAAATCTCCAATATTGTTCTAGGACTCTCTGCGTAGGGTGGTTTTTGATTACTCGGTACACATCTGTTTTTATGGAGTCCTACATGGAACTATATTGACCAGTACAATGTTTACTGTGAAAGGGGTTAGGGTTATTTGCTTCTAGATGATTGGTCAATACTTTGGTAAATGTTTGTTGTCTTCCCCTTCAGGTTTTTAAAAGGTTAGAGCGTCCTCTGGGGCTTCAAACACATCAGCAGTATTTTTGTCTCACCATATATCCAATGAAAATGCTGTATCATGATAGGATCACCACATTAACAAAGCCTCAAAACTGTGTTCCAGTCTCCTAGGTGCACTTTATTCATTTCTATCTAGGTAAAGTTTACTCAGGAATATGGTGTTTTTTTTTATAGGAATAACAGACTGAAAGCTGTGTCAAATGCTTGGTTGAGATGTGTGTCCATCGTTAGCTTACTGTTTGAAGTGTCAGCCCTGCTGTTTGTTCCACACTGTATTCCAAAGTACACTTTTAATGCACATTGTGTTATGTCAGTGTTTCTGGTGTTTCAGTTGTACTACATGCAACATTTAAACCACACTGGTGAAGAAACGGGTGTTTACCTCGGCTTCTCTTCAGAGCTCACACAGAAACAGTCCTGTTAACTAATCATGCTTCATAATAAGTGAAATAAAGGTTGAGGAATATCTGGATAGCACTCTGGTCTGAACACACACGAGACAGGATGGATCTTTAACCCTTTAGGTACTGATTTTGCCTTAAAACAGCACAGCAGTACAGTTCACCCAATAATGTGTCAGAAGAGGTGTGTGTTCCCAGTATTGGGCCTTCAGATCATTCATTTACCATTAAGGATATTAAATAGGGCATTTCAGTTATAGTCGTGTGTGTCCTCTTTGGTATAACTGTCACCTAAATCAAATGGATAGTTAAACTTCTATTTTTGAAGCATTAAAAACACAGCATTCCCCAATTAAAAAACATCTGCATCAACACACTGCTGTCCACTTATTCATTAAGTGTTATGCGCTAACCTCAGTTAGCATCCTGCTAGCTGAAGTCAATTCATCCATGAAGGGTCTCTAGCTATGGTGTTTAACCAGCAGCATTTACATCTGTAATGAACTCTGCTGTAATTAACAAGTAAATGTCTTCAGCTTTAACGTCTCGTCTGTTTTGTTTATCCAATGTTGATCTTTGCTGGTTAAGATTGAATGTGTGGTCAAAAAAAGAAATGCAGGACACAAGAATTTACCACCAACACAAAAAAGTTCTCACATCCTCTTAAGTAAAAGTACTAATGCCACAGTCTAAACATACACCATTACAAGTAAAAGTCCTGAGTTCAGTAAAAGTATCAAAGGTATGATCAGCTAAATGTACTCAAGTAGACTGTCAAATACATATAGTGCAGTTAATGTAGAAGTACGTAGTAGCAGGAAATGGAAATACTCGTTAAGTACAAGTAACCCAAAATAAGTACAATACGTGAGTAAATCTACTTGTTTACATTCCACCACTGCACACTAAGAAGTGTAGTGCTTGAACGCCACGCCCACTTTGTAATTACTGATAATACTTGAAAGATAATATCTTTCAAGAGAGAAAACTAGTTTGTGCGATCAAACGTTAACAATCAGGGTTTTGGGGATGTGGCTTTTGAGGTATGACTGGCACAATAATTCTGAGGAAAGCTATTAAGTTCCTCTTTTCATTTCCCGAAAAATTACACTATCACAATTACTCTGACGTCAATAAAGTTGGGGACTGTAGTTTCATACAGCTTAAACCCCTTCACACAGGAAATACTGCATGTGCATTTAGTCTGGCTCAGCATCCTGTATGTATAGTGTTTGGTCCAATACAAATATTTCAATGATAGTCAAATTATCCTATGACGAAGAAATAGATTGTCGCTTGATCTTATTTTACAAAAAGGACATTTTATTCATAGTAGAAAACATAGAAATAGTGTAACATATATGCATTTTTACAAGCACTACAGACATTAGAACAATAGAGACGATATGAGTTTGCGGTCATCTGGAAGGAGCCTTTCACCATCCGAAGCGATTCACCAGATTGCTCTGGTCATCCAAATCTTTCTGGACCTTCTTCCTCATGTAAAAGATGGGACAATCCCGACTGTGGAGGAGGGACAGGGTTACTGTGTGCTCAGCCATGATTCTGCAGTGAAACGCAGTTAAATATGTGCTGTTTATGTACCTGGTACAGAGCACATCCTCATGGAGGGAGCCCTGGCACCGCTGGCACTGAGTCCACAGGCGGGAGAAACGCTCCTCCAGAGTGCTCAGGTGGAAGATCTGAAATTGAAACCATAAGCGTTAGAAATGTATTGATACGATATTAACCCCTTAAACACTTCAAAATAACAATTTGAGTGATGCTTTACTAGAAAGGCAAACTAACAAGGGTTAATAAATAGAATACTGGCATTTAACATTGAAATAGTCGTTCTGCTTGATCTACCATAATACATGATATTGAATTCCCTTGATGTCTCTCTGAGGGGTTACGAATAACATTAGACAACCTTTGATCAAAAGCACAACAAAAAGCAATAAATCAAAGCTTTTATACAAACAAAGACACAACTGGAACCTTCAAATCAAATAAACTAAGCCCAGATAGTGAGAAACTGCATCATGGCTATAAAATCGAAAAGAAAAACAGAAATACCTTCTTATTTCTGTACGTAGCACAAAAAATGGTTTGGCTTATTTCAAGCGAATTGACTTCATTTTATTCATGGTAGATTGCACCTGTGGTAAGTTGCTTTCGATAAAAACATTGGATAAATGAAATGTACATGTTATAACAGTCATTTGCCCACCTCTTTTTGGTACAGTTCAGACTCCTTCTTCTTACAGAAATCGCACACAGCGGCTGCAAAGACACGGTAGATGTTACACACAAAGATCTCTGTAAAACCCCTTCGAGTCAAAAGTGACGTCTAACCAAAAAGCGAAACCACTTGTTTTAGGAAAGAAGGAAATAGTAAATCTTCAAAGTCTGAGCACACATACTGTCGCTTTTGAGCACGGCTTTGCAGCCGATGCAGGTGCTCCTCTTCTGAGCGAAGGCCATGAGGCCCCCGATCTTTGAGGTCAACACCGTCTTACAGCGCGTGTGGTCGCCCTCTGAAACACACCAGGAAAAAGCTTTAAAAATGATACACATGCCAAGTGTCATTTATTTAACTAGCATATCTATAGTACATCTTTAGAAACAGGTTTATTACGAGGTAGGTTAACACATACAAGGAATTTTACTTGGTGTAAATTTAAAAAAGATTAAAAAAATGTAAAAAAAACACAGATAGAAAACTATTTAGGAAGTATTTTAAGTGTATTGGCTGGACTGTACAGCATTGACTCTTGCTTTGGTTGTTGTCAAAGTAAATATTAGATTACTGAATCACGTTTTTCTAATGATAGGGCTTTAAAATGTGTCATGTTATTTTCTAAATTAAAATAAGACTATCGTATGTGTGTGATTGTGAATAGGGCTGCACCCAATGACCTAAATTGCATCAAAGCTTTTGAGTTAATCGAGGAACTGTTTCCGCACTATCGCAGACTCACTGAGCAAGATGTTCTCGGCCTTGCTCTCTCCCAGGATGGGCTCAAATATTCTCAGCAGGGGTTTGGACAGCTGCTGCTCCAGGTAGTATTGTGTGTCGATGGGAATGTTGTTCTCCAGCACGAAGATCGGGTCCTAAAGAGACGTGCGCAAAATTAAATATCACTAAAAAATGAACATGTATAAAAACAGGGGGATGCACCCACACATCCTAGCACTTATAAAAACACAAGAAGAGATCAAGAAGAAGAATACTTACTTATTCCTACTATTTAAAGTAGCAATAATTAGACAAATGACAAGGAATTGGTTAAGGATACGAGGAATTATACAGTCAATATGGAATGGAAAATAATAAATCTAGTTCATATATTTGATGAAAGATTGGAAAGGTGGATGAGGTAACACAAAATATAACTAATGACCCTCCAGTGAGGTGACTGTTCATTTAGAATTAATGATGAATCCGTAATCTGTTAGCTATACGATATTAATAAATGTTCAAACTGTTTTGTCTTTCTTCTTATTCGTTGATTGTTATTTTTCTTATTGTCTTTTAAACTGCAATTCCCTTTGTTGTGTACGCCCTGTGATTTCTTAAAATGCAAAAAAACAAGAGAACAGGGGTGTACAAATCAAATCAAATGATGTAGAAAAATAATTAAAGATCACTACAGACCTCTGACTTCATGTACGCTGCCACTCCCTTTGTAGCCTTGATGATGACGTACGGCACTCGGTCCCCCAGGTTCGGGGCGCTGCCGGCGTCTCTTTTCCTCATCCTGAGAGACATCGGGACGTTAGAATGAGCGTATCCCAGAAAAACATTATGTTATATATTCATTGAAATGAGATGCTGCGTGTCACACACCTCTCGGCCAGCTCTACGTGCGCCTGTTTGCCGGCGTACTCCTGCGCCGTGCGCGTCAGCTCCTTGGTGATGACGAGCTGGCTGATGTCGATGCGGTTGCACAGCAGGTCTGAGATCACTTCTTTAGCGTGAGCCACGGCACCCTGAGGATCCCTGAAGAGACATCACAACAGCAGTGATTACTTTCATAACAAACAAACATCTAATAGTGTTGTTAAGGTTCATTGTCTGTAGATAAATGTAGACCTTTGTTTTTGTATAATAATAATAATACATTTGATTTATTTAGCACTTTTCCTGGTGCTCAAAGCGCTTAATTCGCTTATTGTGTCAGGTAGTTGCAGGATCATAAGGTTTGAAAAGTAAATGTATCTGATGGATTGTAAAGTGAATAATGGCTGAAATCACTGGATAACTTCTGCACTGATGTTTCATTAAGAACAGAATGTGTGTGTCTGTACCTGTCTATGAGGCATTTCTGCAGACAGGTGTTGATGAGGTTAGCCACCAGAGGGCAGTTGTCTCTGCGGACCGTTTCAATGCCTTTACAGTCCATCTTTTCATGAGTGTCTGCACTTCCGGAGAAATACAGGCCTGCGTAGCGCTTCTTGTTGATCAGCAGGTATGGGTAGTACACCTGTGGAAGGGACAAAACACATCTCTAATGAGGGGGACGCTCAAACTCTATGGTCCAAATCATGGCTTTTACGTTTTGTTCTCAAGCACGTGGGCCAGAAGGGCCCATTCAAGACACAGATGTTAAACTGACCGAGACAAATGCTTTGATAAATCTAAGTGGACAGAAATGTTACCTTCTCAAACTCCAGTTTGATGGGAGGTGTGAAATGAGTCGACACCCACTCTGCCGCCTCCCTCCCGATGTTCATGGCCTCCTGCACTGTGGCAACTCCGAGCTTAACCATGACGGAGTCTGTGTCCCCATAAATAACCTTTAAAACATTTAAATAAAAACATTTAAACAACGCATACACAAAGAGGGTCCATTAAAAAGCTTCAGATAGGAGGTTCCAAAGCCTTCATACATTAAAGGTGTTAACTACAAGTAAGGAACAAAAAAAGATAGGATATCGGGCGCAGTTCCTCACCTTGGCATCACCTTGGTAACCATTGGAAATGGTGTACTTGGACTCCACCAGCTGTTTGGTTTGCTCGATCATCTGTCTTCCAAAACCTGTGACGCTCTAAATGAGAAAAAGACGATGAGACGATTTAAATTAAAAAATCACTAAATGATCAGTGGGGTTGAAACCAGAGGCCATCAGCAATGAAGGAAAAGCGTCATCATGTCTTTCAATGCCAGGGACAAAATTGCCTTAAAGCTTTTTATCTCATAACAGCTCATGTAGAAACAGCTCTCTGTGGGGGTGTAACCAAGTCAACCCTCCACAGAACAGAAACAAAAACAGACCGTTGTGGCTGATTGTTACACATTTGTTCCACCTGTTCTGGTGCTTCTATCTACACACACATCTTTGCTCTACATCTCTGTAGTTTACCCTCCCAGCTCTGACTTTAGCATGAAGTTAAAAACAGCTGTGTTTGAGCCAGAATTGTAAACATTTGGTATTTTTAGAAACAGCATTTTGTGGGTTAAGGTAAATGTTTAAGCTAAGGAGAGGTTAAAGTTGATTAATGTATTGAAATATGTAATCCATATAAGTAGGCCTA